GGTCCAGCCCCTCCCCTTGGTTGGGGGGTCTGTAGTAGACCCCTACTGTTAAATCCCTCTCCCCATGGCCCCCTTGTATCTTGAGATGGGTGCTCCAAGTTCATTCCTGGGGTTGGGGCTGCCACCACCGCAACCAATGCTGCTTGAGTAGGCATAGGCCACCATGTGCTCCATATCCCAGGAGTGGGACCAGAGCTGGAGCCAGAGCCACAACTGAGAGTAAACTGGGTAAACAGGAGTGGGGGTAGTGGCTGGGGGGAGTAAGTGTTGAGGGGTCAGGCATCAAGGGGGAAGGGATGGTGGGGGGTCAAACCATTTGACTCCCTTACTGCCTGCCCCCCTGACAGTTCTTTCCCCACTGTAGCAGTGGGGAGGACAAAGTTTAAGATGACTTTCCAATAATTAGATTCTAGACATGGAAAATTATAACACATTTATCATTTTTCCATGTATGGAATCTAATTATGGGGAGGTCATCTTAAATTCGAAGTTGTCTTGGATTCAGGTCAGTGTGGTACTAGATCTATCTTGGGATTCAGGTAAATATGGTATTAACCACATACTTGCCTATCACAGCAGCAGCAAGGCATTGGCAATGCCCTCATCTCCGCTGCCTTTTACCTGTGTACATAATAGGACATTGTTGGTGTTTCAAGTATTGTTTCTTGTAGCTGCATGTGAGGGCTTGAAATGATTTTTTGGGTGAATTCCTTTGGTTACCAACTGCCTATAAACATAGGGAATGGGGACTTGATGGCCCAGGAGACTCCATGTGTTCCCTTAAGGTATAATCTCATGGGGTCTGGAAGGTACTACCAGGGGAAAGAGACTACATCCCTCTCACCTTCAGCCTGGTTTTTATTCTTTATTCTCATGACCGTTTGTTTCCCATCCAGCTCCTGCAGAAGGTCACACATAAAGACCCTCCCCCTGCAATGGATGACCTTGATGATGTAAGTACCTCTGAGGCACTATGTTGTAGCTGGCAAGAACTCTTTCCCTCTGGCTCTCTCTTTCCTCCCAGTGCCCAAGCCTGCTTTTGAACAGCTCCATCTCAGCCACCCTGTCAGGAGCCTCATCACAGCATAGAGTGAACAGGACAAATGTTTATGAGGCTAAAATTTCTCTGACCTCAAACCTGTGTTCTAATGCCAGCAGTGATAAACACATCTGCCACCACAACCCTTGTTGCCTGGTGCAGTGAACAGGAGGGGCACAGGCAGTACTTTAACTCCTGCTGCAGGGGCATGGGTAGGCAGACTTTGTCACGCTTCTTGAGCCTGAGCAGGTGGCAGGTCCACCTAGGGTGGCACCCTGCTAGTGCCAGTGGCCCATGTCTGATGCTACGGAGGAAAGTTAAAACCGTCACTTATGCACCTGACCAGACAGGCAGTGCTGCTCAGTGGGGCAGGATGGAGGGAAGTCCTTTCTGATCTGGCAGCCATTAGTTTGCACCCTGAAGCAAGTGACTGAAGCCTGTC